GCATGCTGTCCAAAGGGTTGTGGGGTCACAGGCGCTTGGATTTCATACTCAAAGGTTAAGGTTTTATCCCAGAGGCCACAGATGAGTGGGTGCAAGCTTGGCTTTTTATGAGGACCACATACAGAGTTTTAAAGTTGCAGATATCTGAGCAGAATCGCTCCCAACATTTGTGTTGCCCAGAGCAAGAGTAGGAATGGAGGCGCACATACTGTGTGGCTAAATATTTAGAAGTTTCCAAGTAAGCAATACTTAATACGTGGCCCTTGTTTCCACCCAGCCTCTCCAGAGGGACTGCTCTGGGGCTGCAGGTGACAGGAGCCCTCCGCTCTCCCTGAGAGCCAGCCTGCCACTAGAGGCCTGAGGGCTTCACGGACCTTCAGGAGGAAGGCAGGCCGGAAGCTGTACTCAGGCGGGAGACTGGATCTGCCGCCATGAAGGAGGCACGTGACTGAGGTCTTCAGATTCCCTGGTGGGGTGTGTATGGGATTGGGGGGATGGTTCACGTACCTCACACCTCACTTCTCCGACCTTGGGATTGCCAGGCAGTTCTAAGTACCACCCGTGACTGCACCCCTGACTCCACCTACATCCTAAGCAGAGGGGAGGGCAGACAGACACTTAACCTGAGGAGCACTGTCTGCCTCCACATCCTCCCACTTGAGAGGATGTGGGGTGGCTACCTTGAGGCTACAACAGCCCTTCCTTCTCTGGTTTCAAAGGGCCCAGGCTGATTTTTTTTTTTTTTTTTTTTTTTTTTATCTTCCAGCCCAATCCCAGTGCACCTGATGACAGGGCCCAATTCAGCGTGTGTTCCCATATGTTGTGTGTGCTCCATCAATTGTCAAACTTTAAACCATGGTGCTTAGAAGAAAAAAAAAGTCTCTGGATTTTTGCGTTTGCGGTGTCTGGGTCTTCTAAAGCATCTGACGCCTTTTGGCATGGTCTAAGGGTTGTGCTGTGTCTGAACCCAACCCGTGACCCCGCGTTTCTTGGGTTGGTGCAGGAGTGCAGCCTCAGGGTCTGTGTGAGCAAAGCCCCCCTGGGTGAGCGTAACGCACAGGCAGGGGTCGTAATCACCGCTAATGTGGGGAAGGTGTTTCTGTTGGATTTTTGTTTTGCAGCAGAGGAGGGATGTGGATGGTTGGGAGTTTGGAAAGCAAGGAGGAGCGGAATGGAGGACGAATGGAAAATGTGGTAGACGGAGGAGAGCCTCCGGGATCAAGCACTTCCATGAGGGTCCAGAGGGAGCAGGGGCTGTGGGCTGGGCACCGGAGGAGTTGGATAGAGGGGCGACGGGAGATCACGTCAGAAGTGCTCCGTGGTCAGAGGAAGAGACGGGGCCGAGGGTCAGTCTGAGGTCCTCAGTGTTTCATGGTTGAACTGTTTCTCCCAGACAGTGGACGTCCTGACTCCTGGTACCTCTTAGTGTGACCTTATTTTAAAAAAAGGGTATTTGTAGATGTCATTAGGATGGGCCTTAACCCGCTACGGCTGATGTTCTTATAAGAAGAGAAGACACATGGGGCGCCTCGGTGGCTCAGTCAGTTGAGTGTCTGACTTCAGGTCAGGTCATGATCTTACGGTTCGTGGGTTTGAGCCCCCCGTCGGGCTCTGTGCTGACAGCTCAGAGCCTGGAGCCTGCTTCGGATTCTGTGTCTCCCTCTCTCTCTGACCCTCCCCCGCTCACTCTCTCTCTCTCGTGCTAGCTCTCTCTATTGCTCTCTCTCTCTCTCTCAGAAATAAATAAAAACACTAAAAGAGTTAAAAAAAAAAAAAAAAGAAGAGAAGGCACATGCAGGGAGGCCAGGTGACAAAGAGGGAGAGACGGAGTGAGGGAGATATTAGTCCAGCATCATCAAGGACCACCGGCCACCACCAGCAGACGGAAGGAATCAAGGAGGGATCCTCTCCTACAGGGTTCGTGGAGAGTGTGGCCCTGCCAACCACTGGGTTTTGGACTTCAAGCCTCCAGAACTGTGAGACAATACATTTCTGTTGTTTGAAAGCACCCAGTTTGTGGTAGTTTGTTACAACAGCCCTAGGAGCGAACACATAGCTTTGACGGCACACCGGCAGTGCTGGCTCTCTCTGAACCCGGCATTCAGTGAAGTGAGCCTTCATCCCAGCTGGCACCCGAGTGTGCAAGTTCTCTCCTACAGGCCCATCCTCTCCCCAAGAAATGAAGCCCCTCTATGTCACCTAGCTGTGTATGAATTCACGGTGGGCTTCAATGATCTACTCTACAAAAAGGCATAAACACAAGGCATTAATTTACTGCAGGTATCAATTGCCTCCTATATAAGAAGGCGGTTTCCCAGTTAACTTAAAAGGTTTTAATGTACAGTACTCCCATTGGGTACTGCCATATTCTGATTTGGTTTTTGAAGGTATTTGGGGTAGCATTTCGAGGTAGTATCTTTAATCTCCCATAGTAAAAATTATTCAGAAAACCTACAGGAGATTTTCATCTCTAGAAGGAGCATTTTTCAGAGAGGAAATTGTTGCAGCACTGAATTGCCAAAAAGACAGCTGAAAAAATGGGTCATGCTTTCATCCCATTCTGGGACAGGAGCCGCCAAGCGGTTCCCTCCTCATTTTTGTCTCTCGTAAACAAGCTGCATTAACAAGTTACTTTAAAAAAACGTACTAATTTCCCCAGTGAATTACACAGGAAAGAATCCAGTGTTCCCTCCAGAGAACTCAAATAGTTGTTTGTTCTCAGAGCTCAGGTGTGGTAAAATAGCTGTCGGCTAAAAATGCACGCTGGCTATTGGCCAGTAGGCTGGAGCTTTCCATCACTGCAGCCCTGATTTCTCACATCGGTGTGCAACTCGTAGCTTGCTTAGTGGAAAAAAAAAAAAAAGGACTTGATTTTCAATTTCAATTTAATTACACAATCTATAGTGCCTGGTGGGAAGGATTTAGGGGCAAAGATTAATGCTCAACAGTGCTCCATTTTACATTCTTTTCTGATGAAGAACACTGTATTGATTATCCAAAGCGAGTTTTCCAACTTGTGTTTTAAAAGCTAAATTCTTAAATAAAACATTAAAAAAAGGGGGGAGGGGGAGGAATCTCACGGTTTGTGGGTTCGAGCCCCGCGTTGGGCTCTGTGCTGACAGCTAGCTCAGAGCCTGAAGCCTGTTTCAGATTCTGTATCTCTCTCTCTGCCCCTCCCCTGCTCATGCTCTCTCTCTCTCAGAAATAAATAAAACATTTAAAAAAAAGCCAAATTCTGGGAGTAGCAGAGGGATTTAAAGAAGGGGTGTGACTTCGTTTCTTGGCTCTTTGCCAAAATTAGATAAACTGGAGATGTGAGATGCCTCTTTGAGTTGTTTCAGCAGTGGAAAGCTCTTCTATACTTGGGAGAAGAAAGAATGGAAATTCTATTGTAAAATTAGAAATACCAGCTGGCAGACACTGATTGAACAATACAACTATCTGTTTTAAGAATGACTGTATAATGAATATACTTAAGAGTCTTCCTTATTATGTTAAAGTGCAAAGAATTTCACTCTCATTGGGCCTGGAAACCATTATGATTTCATCTGGCAACAAATCAGTGTCTCAGATTACAAGTAAATATTTGGTGTTCTATTTTGGTGTCTACATATTCTATCAGTGTAGCCACAAGTAAAAAAGAAGGAATACGTAGGAAATGTAAATCTGCCCATAAGATGGGGCCTTAATATATTTCTCCATCAATTGCTTTAACTTGTTAACTTAATAAAATAAACAGGTCTCTTTATAAGAAAAAGTATTCCCTGTGTGACTTGAATAAATAAAAATGGTAGCAATAAACCTTCCCGCTTAACTGATGTCAGCCTTACCAAACCACTTGAGCACATACAAATCATCGAAAATACAATGATAAAGAAATGAAGCTCGAAAGGCAAATAAACTATCTGAAGTAGCTAACTGGTTTTGCCATTGCACAATGACAGCATTTTCAAGTATTAAGGTGGCTGTTACTATGAATCAACATTTTCAATTACACGAAGAGCAAAAGGATACCTACTCAGCATTAAATTTTGCTGCTGAACTTGCACAATAGTACATTAGCCAAATAAGTTAACTATTTTTAGAGCTTGATGAGCTCCAGGGCATCTGGCACAGATTAGGTAACACTGGAACTTAATTTGGGCGGAATGACAATGGGGAGTAGAATTGGGGCTTATTTGGGAGAGCACTAGAAGAGTTCGGAAAATGTACCCTTGACTGGTTTAAAAGTAGACCTGCCACCCTTCTCCTTGGCGTATAATGTATGCCAAAGGGGAACGATGAAAAAAAAAAAAGACATGGAGGCTTGCGTTTGTGGGTGGAGCCTGAGCTTACTGGGCCTGCTTGGCCTATGGAAAGAGGAGGTGGGGCGAGGTAAGACAGGGTTTGGTGAAAGCTCCTTGGTTTCAGGGATAGTTTTATTCAACCCGCTTTAACAGTTATAGAAGTGATTCCATTTGCCAGTAAATAAAAAGTAACAAGATAAGAAAATAGGGAAGCAGACGGGAAGAGTTTGGCTAACTGAGCGTAGAGATCAAAGACCATAATGGAAAGGAACTTGCAGGCTTCTACTGCTAGGGGTTCTGCTCTGATTTGTTTGGGAGGGAGTGACTTTCAGCTGGGCAAATTAAAACTTGGGAAAATCACACAGAAGAGTCACTGTAGTTAAGGCAAAAGTAGATAAAAGTATCTATTTGCAGCCATGATAGTATCAATGCAGAGGTCATGTTATGTGCAGAGGGAAGCTTACAAATCACAACTGGCAGTCCCATTTCTCCACCGTCTCCTTTGGTGGGTGTGCAGAGAGGGAAGGAATGAGATGGGGGACAAAGAAAGCACATGGTCATCCATGCAGGACCAGTTTATTTGTTTTCAGAACCAACAGACGTGTATTGCTCCTACCCAATTATTAACAAAATTTTTTTCCGTATTTACAAATGCTTGATTATTAACCTCCGAAACATAATCGACATTATAAGTTATGAGAAGTGAGGAAATACCTGGTCGGTGATATATTTCTGGATGTGTTCTCTAGTCACTGAAAGAGAAAGCAAAAATAAATGTGACATTAAAGTGTGAAAATGAAGTAAATGCAGTTCTGATCCTGCTCTATTCTCACTCAAAACTCCAAAGCAGTCATAGGCTCTCTGGGCAAACATTTGTATTGCAGTATGAACCTTTACAATCACTCCAGTAATTGGAATGAAAAAAAAAAAAAAAAAAGCCAAATCCTAAATAAACCACATTGGGCAAAGGTAATAGAAAACAGAGTGGAAATCCGGTAAGGGTGATACCAGGAGAAAGTATTAAACTTTGGTGGAGAAGTGAAGAGATGAAAAGGACCGAATAAAACTTGAACAACAGCCCGTCCAAGGCTTCCAAACAATGACAACCTGTTCAAGTATAATACTAACATTGAGCTCATGGAACCTTGCAGACTGGACAAGGAGACCTAATGTGGCAGGTGGCAAAGGTGCTACTTTTGAAAACTTTTCCTGTACCTGTGAAGATAATAAAGGCATTATTATATTTTGTTGTTATGGTACCACAGAGAGTAGAGTGAAAACCCACAGTTTTATAAAAGGTATCTTGGTCAGGCCAAGAAAAAAACCACACAGATAATGCATGAAAGGCAACAGGGGGTGTAAAGAAAAAGGACATTAAAATAATAAACCTCCAGGGTGCCTGGCTGGCTCAGTTGGTTAAGTGTCTGACTTCAGCTCCGGTCATAATCTTACAGTTCGTGGGTTCAAGACCTGCATCGGGCTCGCCGCTGTCAGTGCAGAGCCTGCTTTGGATCCTCTGTCCCCCTCTCTCTGCCCCTCCCCAGCTCTTTCTCATTCTCTCTCTCTCTCAAAATAAATAAATAAACTTAAAAAAATAAAATAATAAACCTCCATGGTGATAACAGCCTGAATGTGATCAGTGTTTTATATGTCTTAAATAAAAGGGAAAAAATCCATAGTAATAATAAATAAGCAACAAACCATCAAGAAAGAGAGAAGAAATTTTATGACACTATTGTATTCTGTACTTGTGAACATCTTGGTATGATATACATTCCATTAAACAGATCCTTTTAAAATTTTAATTAAGATAATTGTGAAAGGGCGTCTGGGTGGCTCAGTCAGTTAAGTGTCCGACTTTGGCTCAGGTCATGGTCTTGCGGTTTGTGAGTTCGAGCCCCGTGTCGGGCTCTGTGCTGACAGCCTGGAGCCTCCTTTGGGTTCCATGTCTCCCCCTCTGTCTGCCCCCATGCTTATGCTCTGTCTCTGTCTCTCAATAATAAATAAAAACGTTAAAAAAAAGATAATTGTGTAGTCACGTGCATTTGCAGGAAATAATACAGACACATCGTGTGTCCCTTTACCCAGTTTCCCCCAATGGTGACATCTGGAAGAGCCATAGCACAGCATCACAGCCAAGGTGCTGGCGATGAGGCAGCCAGGATACAGAGCATTTCACACACCATGGAGATCGTTCAAGATGTCCTTTTATAGCCACACCTATTTCCTCCCACACCCTCCCACTTCTTAGCCCCAGGCACCCACTAATCTGTTCTCCATTTCTACCGCTTTGCCATTTCAAGAACATTATATAAATGGAATCATACATTTTATAACCTTTAAGATAGGTTCTTCTCCCTTAGCAAGGTTCTCCAGAGATTCATTCATGTTGCTGTGTGTATTCCTATATGTTCATTCCTTTTCACTGAGGCGTAGTATTCATGGCATGGATGTACAGAAGTATATATGTATGTATTTAAAATCTATTATTTTTTAAATTCAAGTTAGTTAACATACAGTGTAATCTTCGTTTCAGGAGTTGAACCCAGTGATCCATCACTTACATACAACACCCAGTGCTCATCCCAACAAGTGCCCTCCTAATGTCCCTCATCATTTAGCCCATCCTCTACTCATCTCCCCTCCTGCAACCCCCAGCTTGCTCTCTGTATTTAAGTGTCTCTTATGGTTTGCCCCCCTCTCTGTTTTCATCTTATTTTTCCTTCCCTTCCCCTATGTTCATCTGTTGTTAAATTCCACATATGAGTGGAATCATAATTGTCTTTCTCTGTCTGACTTGTTTCACTTAGCATAATATACTCTAGCTCCATCCACGTTGTTGCAAAAGATTTCATTCTTTTTGATCACACAGACACACAGACACACACACACACACACCACATCTTCTAACCATTCTAACCATTCACTCTGGGAAGGTGTGACACACAAAGGAATGGTGTGTCTAACCATTCACTCATTGAAAGACATCTGGGTAGTTTCTAGCTATTATGAATAAAACTTCTATTAACATTTATGTATAGGTTTTTTTGTGAGTGCAAGTCTTTACTCCTCTGGGGTAAATGCCCAGGAGTGAGGATGCTGGGTTGTATGGTAGCTGCATGTTTAGTTGTTTAGTTAGTCTCAAAAATAAATAAATGTTAAAAAAAAAAGAAACTGCCAAATTGTTTTACTTTAAGACATATAATGAAGAATTGATATTTACCAATCAATTAATCAACCCCAAAATAAGTATATTTGAAAATTTTACTAAGTGTTCTGTATCAGGCAAGGTGTTACATGAGATACAGTATAAGGAGCATATGCAATGGAGTGACAGTGTTAAGACTGGACTAATTTAATCATGTCACCACCACAAAATACCAGGGGCCCATCTTGGAGTCCTTATATAATAAGAGCCAATTTCCTTCATTTTTTAATGGCATTGCCCAATAAGTTATTCTTGATATGGTTTAAAAAAATTTTTTTACATTTATTTATTTTTGAGAGACAGAGAGAGACAGAGCACAGTTGGGGGAGGGACAGAGAGAGACACACACACACAGAATCTGAAGCAGGCTCCAGACTCCAAGCAGTCAGCACAGAGCCTGACATGGGGCTCAAACTCACAAACTGTGACATCATGACCTGAGCCGAAGTTGGACCCTTAACCGATTGAGCCACTCAGGAGCCCCTCTTGATATATTTTAATAGTTAGATTCTTTGTTGGATTATATACCGTATGTTTAAAGAAGAGGCAACGTGGTTTGTGGGAAAGGCTTGGCCATTTGAATCAGATCATCAGTATTGCCAAGAAGAGAAAACAGAACATCCATGCAGAAGGAAGAGCACGCACAAAGCCATGTGACAAGGGGGAGCCGAGGGCGTCCAAGGCCTGGAAAGGAAGCCAACACGGCCAGAGTAGAGAAATAAGGGTCGGGGTGTGTGGTGTCAGATGATGCCGGGCAGCTAGTGCTGGAGACCCCTTTGGGGAGATTTATGATCATTACAAGAGCAGTGGGAAGTCAGTCATTAAGGAAATTTGGGCCAGGGTGTGTGTAGGGACATTGGAATGGCATGGTCAAATCTTGATTTTTCACAGACCACTCAACTCTTGTTGCTACTAACTCTTGTAGGCTGGAGGGGGTACTGGGAACGGCAGCTGCCACTACAAAAATCTTAGTTTTGTTGCCTTAGGAACCAAGGGAAATCTGAAGGAATTCAGGAGAAGAATGAGAGCCCAAACAATCAAATCATCATCACCTAATAACGTAGCAGCTCACTGGACTCTAGCAAACGGAGAGACAACAGCCTGCTATCTAATTACAGCCCTCCCATTGACAAGGTGTTTGATGTGGAGCTCGTTAACTAATGCCCTGCCTGTTTGGCCATCTATAACAAAGAGTTCATAATATCTATCCCTCTCCAGATTTGTGAGGGTTAAAATGAAATAAGTATGAATTTTGCAGGCAAAGGATAAGCGAAGGGCATTCTAAGGGCATTCCAAGGAGCCGTGACAGGAAGAACCGTCTCAGGGGCAAGAAGAGGGCGTATCTGGATGACTCTCAAGGTGTTTGGAGTGGCGTATGGAGCCAAAACATTTGCCAGAGGAGGTGGGAAGTATGGGCTGTGGGAAGAGGGTAAGAGAACAGCCATGGGATGTCGTTGGTGGAAGTGAGGCTGAGAAGGGGTTTTCAGGCCGTGGGAGGCCAACAGGGGTTTTTCATCAGGGGGCAAGGCTGTGCTTGAGAAGGATGGCTTTGGTGACGGTGTGGAGGATGGGGTGACAGTGAGGGGCAGACAGGTGGCAGGGAGAGCAAGAGAGGAATGCCCACTGCGCAGGCAGGAGTGATGAGGGGCCCAGTCCAGGAGGGAGAGCAGAGGTGGAGGGATGCCTGGAGTTGGTGGCCTTTCTGAGGTAGGTTCTGGAGACTGACTGGATGTGGGAAGTATGGGAGTGTGGGGGGCAAGAGCATCCCCTACGTTTTCAGCAAGGGGAGCTTATGGATAATTGTATTAGCAAACATATGGTGGGGAAAAGGAACAGAATTTAAAAAGAAGTTATAAGGGGAGCCCTCTGAGCTTGTCCCCATAATTAAAATGAAGATATATGTATGTTATGAAAACTGACATGGCAATTATGGTAAACAGAATAACGGGCCCTCTAAATGTCCACATCCTAATCTCTGAAACCTGTGAATATGGTACCTTCCATGGCAAAGGGGCTTTGCAGATGTGGTTCAGGGTCTGGAGATGGGAAGATTATCTGGGATTATCGGGACGCACCCAATGTAATCACAAGGGTCCTTCTAAGAGACAGGAAGGACAATCAAAGGCAGAGGAAAGGGGAGGCAGGGGCCGGAGTGACCCAGTGAGGAAACGGGCCACGAGCCAGGAAGGGGGGCAGCCTCCAGACTTGGAAAAGGGACGGAAGTGGATTCTCCCCTCGAGCCTCCTGAAGGTATGCAGTCTTGCTGTACCTTTATTCTGGTCTAGTGAGACCATTTTGGAGAGTCTGACTTCCAGAAGTTTAAGAGTAAAACATCTGTGAGAGCCCCAGTTGCAGCTACAGGTAGGAACCCAGGACACAAACCTGGGCTGTGTCATAGGATGACAAGACAGGCTGGGCACAAATTTCCTTGGTGAAGGGTCAGAATGAGTCTAGGATTTGTGTCATCTGTCCAAATGAGGAAGAGGCAGGGGGCTGTTAGTGGGACATGTGGCCAGGTTATGTCCAGCTCAGACACCAAGGCAG